TTGGCAACTAAGATATATGAGCATCTCGAAAGTGAGAATATGATACCCATAGAACAGCTAGGGTGCAAAAAAGGTGCTAGGGGTTGTAAAGAACTCCTAGTAATAGATTCGTTCATTGCAGCACAAGTTGCGAAAAAACAGCGAAACCTCTCTATGGCATGGATCGATTATAAAAAGGCCTTTGACTCGGTTCCCCACAGCTGGCTACTTAAAGTACTAGATATATACAAGGTTGAATCTAAAGTAAGCAGGCTCCTTCAAACTTAATGACAGGTTGGAAAACTACGCTGAAAGTTGGAACTATCTGCAAAGGGAATCAAATTAAAATATTGAGAGGAATATACCAAGGAGATCGTCTAAGCCCCTTATGGTTCTGTATGGCTTTGTTCCCACTAAGCAGGATTCTTCGAATGAACAAGATGGGATACAAATTAATCATCAACGACGAAGCTACCACAGTCAGCCACAGCTGGTACATGGATGACCTTAAACTATATGCGAAAAACAAAGACCAATTACAAAGCATGGTTGAAGCCGTTTCATCTTTTAGTAGTGATATAGGCATGTCACTCGGTCTGGATAAATGTGCGGTGCTCCATGTAACCAAAGGAAAAATGGTTCGTATGCAGAATATTCTAATCAATGAAAAAGAGTACATCAGGGAGCTTGAAGACAATAGGTTATATAAATATCTGGGAATGCAGCAACATCTTAAAATTGCAAGAAAAGATATGCCACAAGACCTTCTGACAATGTTCAAAATTAGATTGCGGAAAGTGCTCAAAACCCAGCTAACCGGGAAACAAAAAATCAAGGCTATTAACACCTGGGCAATACCTGCTCTCGGTTATAGTTTCGGCATATTGCACTGGTCAAACACCAGCCTACAGGAGATCGACCGCCTTGTGCGAACAACTCTCACACAAGAACGGGCCCACCATCCAATATCATCCAAAGCTCGTCTGTATTTGCCTAGGAAAGAAGGAGGACGTGGTTTGCTAAATATCGAAGAAGCTTGCCGCAAGCAGGAAGCGGCCCTACGCCGATACTTTCTTACAAAAACAACTGAGGTTTACCTCGCAATCTCAAGATTGGATTATGGTCTAACCGCACTTAACCTGAGCAATCGTGAGGTCTCTACAATCGTGTCAGAAAACGAACGCTTGACAGAATGGAAAAATAAATCTCTGCATGGAAGATTCTACAGCAAATTAAATGATAGCTCGATTGACAAGGAAATATCCATTGAATGGCTGAAAGCTGGAAAGATATTCTCCGAGACAGAAGGATTTCTGCTCGCCATCCAAGACCAAGTTATTGCTACTAGATCATATAGAAGGCATGTGCTGAAAGACGCAACAACTACGGATAAATGTCGATTATGCTCAGCGACGCTGGAATCAATCCAACATGTCACAGGTGGGTGTGGAGTGTTGGCTGGCACCGAGTATCTCCAGAGGCATAACAATGTGGCTAGAATTTTTCATCAGGCTCTGGCGGTGAAGTTCAACTTGTTAGATGACAAAACTCCATATTATAAGTACCACCCAAATAAACTCCTCCAAAAAGGTAGTCTCAAGCTCTACTGGGATGAATCGATAATAACTGACCATACTGTGCGTCACAATAAACCAGACATCCTTCTGATAGACATGAGAGAGAAAAGAGCAGAGCTTATTGATGTCGGGATCCCCAATGATAATAATATAAGCTCCACTGTTGGAGAAAAACTGAGAAAATACCAGGAACTGGCAATCGAACTGAAGGAATTATATCATTTGGGGAGCGTCACCACCACTCCAATTATAATATCCTCCAATGGATTGATACCAAAGACAACAGTGGCAGGCACGATAGGATTAAAATTACCTCTTGAAGTGCTGAAAGAGGCTCAACACTCAGTTCTCTTGGATACGGCACGTATTGTTCGAAAGTTTTTAAATATCTAAAAAGTAATAGATATTAATCTGAAGTGGCTGGACTTCTGGTCTCCCACCTCAGAAACTTACCCCGCAAAGCGAGAATAAAGAATGGAAATAATAATAAAAGGCTTAGCGAACCCGAAGGTTCGATGCCGACACCACCAATCGCTTATTACACACCTCCCTCCACCGTTCGCCGTCCAAACCCAATCCCTTCAGATCGGCTTTAATGCAATCTTCCCACCTTCGCTTCGGTCTACCCCTCGGACGCTTACCATTCGGCACCGCACATATTAACCTTTTAGGAATTCTCTCGTTACTAACCCCAACAACTTTACAAGCCCATTTGATTCGCCGCGATGAAATTACCTCAATTATATTACCCGGATACAGCTTACGCAATTCGGCGTTGTGTAACCGTCTGAACTCTCCGGTTAACTCATCCTTCTTCGGTCCGAATATTCTACGCAATACTTTATTTTCAAAAACCTTAAGAAGCTGCTCATCCCTTAATGTAAGCGGCCAAGTTTCGCATCCATAAAGAACTGTAGGCAAGATAATTGTTTTATAGATTCTAAATTTTAAGTTCCGGGACAAGAGGCGCGAACTAAGTAGTTTTGTCACAGAATTCTTAGTAAAGATAAATTAATTCTCCATAGTTTAACATCATCACAGTTAAAATGATTGTGAAGTTGAAAGTTGAAATTTCATTCATGCAATTTTTCAGATTAAGCAAGTCCCTAAACCATGCGATTTATTTTTTAATTATCTTTAGTGCTAATATTTTTTGATATCTATGTGGTGGAAGATTCAAAATTTTTATAATGTAATCAAAATGGAGTTTAATTGTGAAGATAAATAACAGATCTATTTTAGTATCAAAGTGAATAAAATATGTTGGAGTATACTTTGGTAATTTAAATAATTTTTTAAGAAAGAATCTTAAAAAGATAGTCTTTCCACGGCTTTATATCTTACACCACCTCAGATGTGTGCTCCATAGTGTGCCCTACTAATGTTATTAAATACTTAGAGAGCTATATCTTTGTTTTCCACAAGCTGGCACCAAATCAAATTCAAACCCACCTTGGCTTTCTCCAGTTTTTTTGCCAGGTGTTTGGACATTGAGAGAGTAGATGTGAAAACTATTCCTAAGTATTTGTACTGTTGAACTACTTCTATACTTTTGGAGCCCATGAACCATTTTTTTTTTTACGTGATGGCTTACTGTCATTGCGAAAGACCATTATTTTAGATTTTTTAAGGTTTTTCTCAGATTCCATTTTTTACAGTATTCGTCTAGGGAATTTATATTACTCTGTAATGTTGCTGAATATGAAGATAGGAGAACAATATCATCTGCAAAGCTAGGTACTTAATTTAACAATTTTCCTCAACATAAATACCGCCATCTAAATTCTCTTCCAAATCATTTATATATAACGAGAATAGAATCGGATTAAGCAAACAACTGATTCCATACTAAATGGTTTAGTCAAACCATCCAAACCCCAAACTGAAACATTAATATCGCTAAGCAAACTTTTAATTAATTTGGATGAAAATCCTAGCTGATATAATTTATAAATTAGACTATAATGATCCACATTATCAAATTCTGTACAAAATCTACAAAAAATACATAAACTTTTTCTCTTGTAATTTTACTTTAATTAGACCCGTTAATGTGAATATGTTATTGATTGTTGAATATTTTTTTCTAACCAGCCTGAGCTTCTTTAATTATATTGTTATCATCAATCCTGTCCAAACATCTAGCCGAAATCAACCCCGTGTATAACTTGGCAATTGCATTAATAAAGGAGATTCCCCTCTAATTAGAAGAAAAAATTTTCATCCCATTTTTCATATAATGGGAAAATAATGGATTTTTTAAATGTTAAAGGGACATATCCCATTTAAAAAATTCTATTAAATGTAGCTAATAAAATATTTAAAAATGAATTAGGAGCATACTTGTAAAATTCATAAGGGATCCTATCACTTCCTGGTGCCTTTTATTTTTGAAGTTACCCAAAACCATTTTCATCTCACTAAGAGAGAAGGGTCTATTTAAAATAGCATTAGTAATTTTATGTTCAACGTTGATCTATTGAGGATTTCCCTTTCATTAAGCCTGCCATTCCAACTTCTTGGGAAAAATTTTACTTTTTTATTCTACTCATAACTTATGCGAGAAAGGATCTTATATGCACTAGAGAGGAGTGCTATTCTACGATAATTAGTGCATTCACCAACATCGTACTTTTTATATAATGGATATATTGTAGTATCACTCCATTCAGTGGACATTTTTTCCTGTTAATAGACATCGATTAGGATGTTGTGCATCCATTTTACTATTTCTTCCCCACCATATTTGAATAGTTCCCCGGGCAATCCATTTCTTCCTGGTGATTTGCTATTTTAAGCATCTGGATAGCGTTTCAGACTTCAATTTCGAGAGGCTCAATGTCTACCTCAGTTAAATGGATGTATATGTCTTGCTCCATACTATTCCCATCTAGCAAAGAGCAACAATGGTTCTTCCATCTAATAAGAATTCATTTTATACTTGTTTATTAAATGAAATAAATTATAAAGGTTTCTACTATGCTGAGTAATTTCATGTTCTTTAAATCTAAATATAATCTTTTGTTGTTTCTAGTATAGAGTTTCAGCTCTTCTATAGCGAATAATTCACCAGTAATTGTTTAATATGAATTATTTTTTGCAGCTTCTTTGTCTGCCAAAGTATTGTAATAAAGTTTGAATATTAGTTCTCCCCTTAAGGGATATCATATCAATAGACAGGCTGGTTAATAGTAATAAATAGATAGATTTTTAATTATTAAATACATATATGTGTGTGTATGTTTATGTATAAATTATTTTAAAATATTTATATCGTCTAGGAAAAAAACAGTTAACTAATCTAGTACTTAGTCACTAACCTATTCCATGTACTTTCTTCTTAATTTTCATTTAATAATAAATTTTATCATTTTATTAACTCACATAAACTTTTCTGGTATGAATATGAATATAAAGATGTACACATTTGTGAAAATCTTTTAGGTGCCAGCTTTTAATGGTTCAAGCTATCTGAGATACCCAGGATTGGGTGGATCAGCACTCTCATGGCTTGATATTGTTATTGTTTTAAAGCCTAATGCATTAAATGGCGTAATTTTATACAATGGACACAGGGCTGATGGAATGGGTGACTTCATTGCTCTTTACACCAGTGATGGTCATCTTGAATTCACATTTGATTTAGGAACAGGGGCTGCTACAATTAGGTAATGATTTAATTTCCTTTAATGTTATTTAGTGAAATATGAGTAATTTTATTCATCAAATTTATAAATTAAAGTTGTAAATAAGTTAATATGATATAATCAAAAAATTATATCAGAGAAACCACAATGTAATGACACCCCAATTACAAAATTAAAATATCTATTAAGTTTAATAATATTTTTATATCCTCAATCAAGAGGACCTCTCAAACAAAGAAGACATGGACCACACTGAGGACTTTGACCCAGAAGATACTGAAAAACCAGATTACTGGATGTAGAAATAACCATCGAAAGGCACAAAACAAGAAAGGCTCCAGGGATAGACAACCTACCATCAGAACTGTTTAATGATGGAGGATACGACATAGGAGCCAGTCTACCATGACTAATCCAGAAGATATGGGAAGAGGAAAGGATACCTGAGGCTTGGAATACGGGCCTAATCTGTCTTATCCTAAAGAAAGGCTCCATGTATGAGTGTAGTAATTACAGAGGCATAGCACTCCTTCCGGTTGCCTACAAGATAATGACCAATATCCTACTAAATTGGATATATCCGTATTACGGGAATATAATAGGCAACCACCAAGCTGGATTCAGTAAAGTGTAGCACTAGACCAGATATTTATTCTAAAACAAATACTCGAAAAATGATGGGAAGTAGCTCAGGACAACCATGCCCTATTTGTCGATTTCAAAGCAGCCTACGATTCTGTGGAAAGGAGCTGTCTTTGGAAAATCATGACTGAACTGGGAATTCCTGGTATGTTGGTGAGATTGACAAAGGCGTGTACAAATGACCCTAAATGTAGGGTCCTAATACAAGGAGAAGTATCTGAAGCTTTCAAAGTTCGAACAGGCTTATGGCATGGAGACAGACTATCACCGATGTTGTTCAACTTAGCCCTGGAGAAGGTAATAAGAGCAATATTTAGGAAAACGGAGAGGTCCATGACAGAATGAATCATAAAATCCTTGGATACGATGATGAGATAGCTGTCCTTGGAAGTAATCAATAAGACTTTGAGAAACTCACTACAATACTGATAAGAGAGGCAGAGCAGATTGGCCTACAAGTAAATGAACAAAAACAAATTATATAATAATAAGACGAAAATTTCAACCAATAACAGGATCTGTGTAAAAGGGAAATCGTATAGGATAGTAGAAAAATTCAAATACCTTGGGTCCACAAAAACCTCAATGAATGACCATTGGGGAGAAATAGACCAGCGTATAACTAGCCCAAACAGAGCTTTCTTCCTCCTCTCAAAGATATTGAAATCCCGAAAAATCTCAAGAAACATCAAACTAAGGATGTTAAATGCTATGATACTGTGAGACCTGGACACTAACCAGCACCCTAGAAAAAAGTGTTGAAAGATTTGAGAGAAAAGGCCTCAAAAGCACAATAGCTAAAGCGGTCTGGTATCAGAGTAGTAACACATGAAGAAGAAAGACCAATAAAGAACTGCTTACAGAAACTGGTCAATCAATATCCCATGATATGAAGGCTCAGAGATTAAGATGGGCAGGGCATTTAGCTCATTATAATCCATCTGGAAGCCTCTACGTAACAATGAATGCCTCAATAGAAGGCAAAAGACCAAGTGGAAGGCCAAAAATCAGATGGATACATAGAATCAACAAAGATGTAACAGAGCGGTATGCAGATAAATGGAAAGAAATAGCCCAAGATAGGCAGAAATGGGGCAGGCTTGTCAAGGCAGATCTACATGATCTGTAATGCCAACAGAAAAAAAAAATGTTTATATAGTTTTGGTTATTTTGCCTTTTCTTTGTCTTTATATGAAATATATAGTAAGGGAAAGTATTATAATCTTGAGAAATTTTGGATTCTAGTTTTTGTTTATAATATTGCCTGTATAATATCAAGATTTAAGATGTCCCTAATGTTATTGGTATTCATTTATTTATTTAGCATATTTAATCTTGATTTTAATTATTTCTTCTCTCTATTGTGAAGGAGTTCGGAACCTTTGAGTCTAGGTGAATGGCATGAAGTAACCATATCAAGAACAGGAAGACTTGCAGTTTTGCAAGTTGACAAAAACCCTTCTGCTCAAATCTTATCACCTGGAGCATTTACTCAACTTTACCTACCGCTTAATATATATATTGGAGGGATTCCGAACTTTGACATGGTTTCTCCAAAAGTTAAAGTTAGAACATCGTTTATTGGGTGTATTCAAAAGGTTAGTTTGTTTATTGTATTTTCTTTTTATTATATTAGTTTTATGAGACATTACAGAAATTTACATTAGCACAATGGTGAGTTTTTGTGAAATAAGCCATACTCATCTGATATTCTTGCTCATTTTGGAGATTTTTATCATTTGTATACTTTAACTTCTATCTTTTTCAGTAGTATATTGTTAAAATCATTGACATTTTTGAAAGAGAGTAATATAAGATTTGTTTTTACATATTGCATTATATATTAATAATATTATAAATTAAATGTTTCATTAGATTTATCCTTGGCGTTCCCAAGTGCTCCCACATCTCCAGTTGATATACCGAGTTAATGTGTTTTTTTTTGTGTTGACAGTAATATATCCTTGGTTTCTATTTTTTCCAATTCTTTAGAACAGGGGTCTCCAAATTTTTTGGCCCACTGGCCACATTGGGACCTCCAACGAAGTCCCGTGGACCATGGCTTGTGATGAAAAAAAAAATCTTGTTCTATAAATGACACTTCGGCTCTGAGAAAAAATCTACGCAATGAGTGTTGTAGTAACCTTGTGTCCGAGTAAATTGCTAAATTTTATATTTTTAAATAGATTTTCAAATTTTACCATGTAATCAAAAAAACATTCGTAATTTGGAGACCCCTGCTTCAGAACAAAAACGTTACATCCTCAATCTGTTCACTCCATGCACCTATGTCCATTTTTTGAAAGCAAGATCCCAATGAATAAAACTTGTACCTTACTTCTCATAGAACTATATAATTCTTTAAAAAAACATTTTTTGAGTAATTGTTATGGCATTGTGGGGTATTAAAACAAAACAGTCGAGATTCGATGTTGCTCTAATAGAGGCTACAAGCATTAGCGGATCCAGGATTTCATTTTGGGAGGGACTTCAGCCCGAAAGCTTTTTTTAGTTTTAATTTAACGATAATTACTTTGGAAGAAAAATAAAGAAACTAACTACCTATACGAAATGGTGTTTAAGTGCTTCTTGAAATCCTATTAAATGTAATTACACGGCCTATAATACTTTCAGAGATTTTTTATTAAAGACTTGGTAATAATTTACTATTTGGGGGAGGAAAAGGAGCTTCAGTCCGAAAGCCCCTTTCCCCGTATATCCATTTTTGGCTACAAGTGAACATGACCCAAGCTGAAGCTTTTTCGAGCTTCCATAGGTCTGAACCAGAGTTGCCACCTTTATTGTTGTATTTATTTATTAATCTATTTACATTAATAATATACACACTGATTTGTACAATTAATAAATAAGAAATAATGAAGTAATTTTTCATAATTTCTTCCTAAAATTTCTTTTATTATTTCATTAACTCAACCACACCTAAATTCACTAAATATCTCTCTATCACTTCTTTAGCCACATTTCTGGTTAAAATGTCTGCTGCCAGGTCCTCTGTCCTTTTGTAGACAATTTTAATTTTTCCCTTCTCAGCTTTATCTTTGATGTTGTGGAATTCTCTGTTTATATGGTTCACCCACTTTTAACCATGCCTCCACCTGTTTCTGATAATCTAGCTTTTTCTTTGGTTTCTTCCTTTCTCTGTATGTAAACTTCTTTGGTGGCTATGATGTTACAACTAAGTTTTTGGTTACTTCTTTCTCTTGCTCCCTTTCATCTTGAGGTTCATATTTTATGCAATATTCAATTTAACTGGACTTTGAGCTTTATCAACTTTTTTAGTGTTATTTTCAGTATTTTTGATTTTCTTCTTTTTTTTTTCAAAAGATTTATTGTTTATTTTTAATTTGCTAACATTTTCTGTAATGGATTTCACACTTGGACCTTCCTCCTCACCCTGACTCCTCATTATGTTCAGATTTTGCACATTTATTACATCTAAGTCTGGCGATTTAGATTCAATCTCTTTATTTTCAGGAGGATCAGCAGTATCTTTGATCTTTACATCTGATATGATTCTTGCATTGTTTAACTTTATTTTAACTAAATTGGAAGTTCTTGTGGCAAATAATTTCTAAGATTCTTCTCAAGTATCAAGTGTCATGGCCGCAACTGCAGTCCAATATTCGTATTGTTCTGTCTTTGCTACTTTGTCATCTGGTTATTATCTGAAATCCTATTCTCAGACTTTGTAAATAGTGAGTTTATAAACAGTTTAACAATTTTACATTACAATCAGTGAGGTGAGTGACTTATTATTAACAATTAGCAACATTAAACTGGTGTTCGTTTGCCAGAGATTGTTTATGTGGCAGATAATTCTTCTCAACAGGTCTTATCTTTCAAGGTCACGGTCACGGCGCTTCGTATTACTTGTCAATCTTGAGTTCGTACCTCAGACTCATATATACTTTTTTTTTACTCTGACTCTTTTATTTTATTTACTTATTGAAAATGTTTTATTTAATAATTGTATATAGATTTGTAAATAGATTAGTTATTAAATATTTATTTTGTAAATTTTTTTATTAGAGATACTTTTTTTTTTTCACTCTTCTCCTTTGTTTATTTATATTTAGAGGTATGGATTCTGATAAGAATATTTCTATTGATGAATCAGATGTAAATACTCCGTTCTCCGTAATTAGTGAGACGGATTCTCAGTACTTAACAAGGCGAACTCTTCAAAAGCGCCTCAGAAATTCTGCCCTCGGGTTGGCGGGCAACTCACCAAATAAAAAAAAAATCCGCTAAATCAAAGCAGCCACTCAAAGCAGACAAAAATAAACAATCAAAAACTAGCACTAATAATAATTCAGCTATGAAAGCTAAAACTAAACCACCTACTAGCACATCCAGGAACAATTCTGTTGCAGCCAATAATAAAAATAAGCGACCACTGAACCTAGGACTTTCACCGAACCTGAGCCACCACCGATATATGTAAGCAAAATTGACAACTTCATGCAGTTCGGTCAAGAAATAGCTACCCTGATTGGACAGACCAACTTCAGGTGTTTTTCTCGTGTCAATGACATAAAGATTAACACAAACATCAAAGACGATTATAAAAAACTTATTAATCATTTGCCAACACAAAACTATGACTTCCACTGCTATCAATTAAAAGAGGAAAAAACCTATAGGGTCGTTTTGAGAGGTGTCCACTCAACCACTCCTACTACTACCGCTATAAAAAAAGATCTTGAAGATATCGGCCGCAATGTAAGACATATATCTTCTGTTTTACATCAAATCGACAAATATCCACTGCCATTATTTTTCATTGATTTAGAACCAGCCCGGAATAATTCTGAAATCTTTGAAGTCAAAAGACTGATGTATTCAACTTTAAAATTTGAAGAACCGAGACAGAAACATATAGTCGTGCAATGCACCAAGTGTCAAAACTTAGGTCATACAAAGGCCTACTGCCATCACTCGGCACCGTGCGTCAAATGTGCCGGTCCTCACGCCTCTGACACCTGCCAGAAACCGTTGAATGAACCAGCAAAATGGGCCCTCTGTGGTGAGGACCATCCTGCTAGGGTTGCATGGTCTATAAGAAGATCTATAAGCAAAGGACTTACAACATATCTCTAAAAAACCATGAACAGAAGATTCCTACCCAGGCACAGGTACCTGAACTTCAAAATTTCGCAACGTTTCCTGAATTGCCGAACGAGATAGCATCACGTCGTTCACAACAGCCCTCTACATCAACATATCATCTCCATCAGGACTCCAGGCAACTATATTCAGGCACAATGGTGAAGAATCAGCCGCGACATCAGATGCCTCAGTCTTCCAAACCTAAGTCTCAAACTTTCAATCTTAAGACCGATACTCACGAGGCATCATTAAGTCAAAATTTCCAAGTCAGCAAATGCCTCTTCATCAGATACCTCTACTTACGGAATTGAGGTTTGGGGCTCCACTAAACCATCAAATTCCTCTCGTATCCAATCCTTACAATCCAAAGTCCTTCGTAAAATCCTCAACGCTCCTTACTTTGTCACAAATAAAATCATCCATAAAAACCTTAATGTTCCATATGTTTCCGATTTGGCCCAATCCGGATACCTATCCTTCCATAACAAACTGCAGAACCATCCGAATCCTCTCGTTTCAAACCTTGCTTCCTCCTCGATCCCTGATAACCATCCGAGGCGTCTGAAAAGATGATGGCCTCGTGACCTTCTAATATAGAACTTTAATTTGAGTTCTACCAATGGGTAGTTTCTTTTCATGTTGTACATGTCATGTTACCAATGTCACATTTACTTATTATATTTTCCATGTAATACAGTTGTAAAGTTCAATAAAAAAAAAAAAAAAAATTATGTTTCTCTTCAGGAAACTTAATCTTACCCTTGCATTTCGTTTTTTCTTCTTATCAAGTCCATTATCGCTATCTCTTTTACTATGTTCAGCTACCTTTGGCACTGCAATACCATTGACCAGCTACACTTTCACTTAAATCTTGATTTTTTTCCCTTAACTTTTTCTTGATTCTTTGCTTGTTTTTTGTCAGGATCGACTTCTTCTTTATCCCTTTCTTCTGGCTTGGGAATATCGAAATCAATACTACTGTCATCATCACTCCAATCTTGATCTTTTCCCATAACCTTCTTTTGTTTATTGACAGGCTTTGAATCTTCTTCTTCAGCATTTTTATCATCTATTGGTTTGTAATCATCACTTAAGTTATCATTCTCACACTTGGTTAATGTATATTTTTTTCATTATTTTCTAATAGTTCTTCCTCATCACAATGAGTAGACACTCATAGCACTGGCACTAAATTTATACTCTCAACTTTTTGATGTCATGATCTTTCCAGCATTGAAGAATCTCTCTTTGAAAACACTTCCATTCCTTTCTGGAAAAGGATAACTTTGTTACCCTTTTTCATACAGAGTGATATCTTTTGCATCCTAAATTTCCAATACTTCCTTCCAATATTCCTTCCTCAATCAATGACCATCCTAGGCAATCGCACATAGTGCAAATTCCTGGACTATGGTCACTTTATCTTGTTTTTTGTAATGAGGTCTTTGATGTTTATCAGGGAGTCTGTTTCTATATGATTTAGTATTTGTATCTTTGTTCAACCAGCAGTCCTTCTTCAAGTGTTCTGGCATATGTAATATATTTTGGGATTAAGGTCATTTGTTAAAGACATGTTTAAAATGCTTGTTGATCACATCTATTTAATACACTTCACCTTTTAAATTAATGTAGCATTGGTCTTAATTCAGTGAACTTATGTTCCTATTTGGGTGCGGGGTACTCAGTGAGTGGGAACTGACTTCCAGAGCTCAGGGTCCAAGGTTCGAATCCGGCTGATGACTAGTAATTTTTCATCTGCCGTCGATTGACTCTAGGGTTGGGAGACCATCCTGGGGCACACCCCTCCTCTATAAAGTGGACACTTATAATTAAATAATTAATTAAGGGGGAAAACCAGGCAGTTGAGCTTGATATCGGCCCAATCATGGCCCTGCACAACCGTTGGCCTAGTAACAGTACTTCCTCACATTGTACTGAACACAAGACCCTTCATGGGTTGTTAGCGGTATAGGTTTTTTATGCTCCTATTGACCAAGATAGGATTTACAACAGTCATAATGGTGGGGCAAACCTTCAATGCCGTATCTTACTAATTCACTTTCAGTTAAGTCCTTCCCCAGTTGAGCCATCTCTTGAGCATAACACTGGAATCTATTAAGGTATTCCAAAGATTCGGATTTGTTCTTTTTAATGTTATTAACTTCAATTGTGAGTTCTATAACCCTATAACCCTCTCCTCTAGGATACCCTCAAATCTTTCTTTTAATTGTTCCCATATCTTTTTTGCATTCTTTTCTCCTCTAATTGATAAAAGCATGTCATTACTCATGGTCAATATAATGGTGGACATAACTTCTTAGTTTTTCTTTTCTAATTCCTTCAACACATTTTCTTAGCGTCCCAAATTCCTATTTCTTTTGTCTCTTCATACAGGCATTTTGCTTCTAAATAGGCTTCTATTTTCATGGGCCATATTCCATAACTTTCTGCTGTAAACTTTTCTATCCTGAACCCTGTTGCATCCATTGTCCTTTATGGACTATATAAATTGTATCCATGGCGGTTAGTCCAAAAAAACAAAAAACAAAGTAAGCTTATTGGGTAGTATACTCATATAAAATTTCTACACGAACTTAATAAAGCACTTAACCACCTTCTGCTACCAAATAGTTATGGGGTCGTGGGGTATTAAAACAAAGCAGCCGAAATTAGATGTCACTCTATTGGAGGCTAAAAGTGAACATGATCCAAGCTGAAGCTTTTTCAAGCTCTCATATGTCTGAACCAGTGTTGCCACCTTTATTGTAATATTTATTTATTAATCGATTTACATTAATTACATACACATTTCATTTGTACAATTAATAAATACGAATTAAGGAAGTTAATTTTCCACAGTAGTAACAGAGAGGTGTTTTTGGGCTGATTAGTTCTTGATATTGCATATGTCACTTTCAAAGCTGAAGAAAATTTGGCACAAGCGTCAGAAGTAATTTACTGCCATTAAAATTCAAATCCATCAATAAAATGAAATTTCTTTTTGAGATTATCAATTTATAAAAAACTATTTTACCAGAAGGATTTAAATACACACATCCGTGGCCAGTAATGTGAAAATGTAACACTAAATAAACTCATAATAAATAAGAATGTCTAGTATATCAACTCAACAAAGTGACACTGTTAATAAAATAAAACACAGTGAACAGAGAATGATGGAATTAGTTACATTGATATACTAAATTAGTGATCATGATTGTATGGAAGGTTACCCTGTCAACATCAGTGCAGTTTTGTTTATATCTGCCTTGGCTACCTACTTGTCAGTGTGTAGCATTTTCTCAACTCATGTCATTAATGAATTAACCTATTACTAAGCATTGTTAAACTCAACACAACTCTTTGGGACAGTTCCTTTATTATAATATTATTCTGTTTAAATAGAATATTTAATAGGCCACCTTGGTTACTATTTGTTGTTTTCTAATCTTTCTATTAACCATCTTTAATTTAAAAAAAAATAGAAATTTGTTTCCATTATATATAATGAAATCTGTATAAGTAAGAATGAAAGTCTTTTAAATTACAGTATTATTTATAGATTATGTATTTACAAACTATTTTCATTTTGTTTATATTATGTTTAAATATTGTAGATTTTAATCAACAATCGTCCTCTGCAAATCTTTGCTGAAGCCTTAGCTGGAGTTAATGTTGATAACTGCCCACATCCTTGTGTTGCCAAACCATGTGGTGATATTGCTCATTGTGTTCCTCATTTTGATTTCTACAAATGTGTATGTGATAAACATTGTGAAGAAAACAATCAATTAATGATACCACCTGTTGCTTCCTTCACAGGAAACACTCACCTCCATTATACAGATCCAGAAATTCTTAACAGGTAATAGTTAATCCCCTTATATAAAATCAATCTATAGTAGATATAACAATCTTTTTAAACAAATTTGGCATTATTTAAAACACCATAAAAAAAAAGATTTATTTCTATACTGTCATCACTTCTCTTGAGAAATTTATTTTGTTTTCAATATAAAAGAAAATGATGGATAAGTCATTTTAATTTTCAGAAATACAAAAGAAAACTTAGACTAGTGATAAAATAAACACATTAAAATGTTCATTAATCATCATCATCATCATCATCATCATCATCACAGCCCTACAACTCGGTAATCTTGTGCCAGGGTCTTCAAAGCTCAAGTGTCCAAAAGCTTCTCTGCTTCGACTTTGACCTCATGTGCTTATCTCTGCCTTGGCCATCCTCTTTTTCTTCTTCCATCCATATATCCAAACAGTGTTCTTTTAATTGAAGAGTCACTATCCATCCTTGTGAATTGCTCAGCCATCATAGCCTCAAGAGTCGTATAAATTGCCCCTCATCCGGTTTCTTGGTAAATTTGGTGCAACTCTACATTATTTCTCAGTTTGTACTAGGTGCCTTCTTTTATATGGCCAAACATCTTCCACAGGATTTTTATTTTGAAAACCTGTGAGCTGGTGACATCTGTAGGTGAATAAGGGCCATGTTTCTGAGAAATAAGTCAGTATAAAGATTTGTACAGAGCAATCTTGCTGGAAAATGACTTATTATAATATTTATAACTTAACTTTATGAAGGAATAACGTTTTTAAGGATACATTTTTCGCTTTGATGCATCGTTTAGGAGTTATAGGGGGAAAACTCAAAAAATATCGAAAAAATCTGACTTTTTTGATTGTAAAAAATTTTCCATAGGTGATCTGCGTTAGCAATTTTGTTTTTTACATATCTGTTGTATATATCTGAACCCATATATACAAGTTAAAAATATAAAAAAATTTCTCACTTTTTCTGCAATGGATTTCTTGTTTCGGTCCTCAAATTATTGGCCTAATATTCTTTAAATCAGCCGCCATTTTTGAAATCGGCCGCTCTGGAACAGCAGACAAGTTTTTTCTAAGTCAGAATAACATACACTTTCTTAATTTACAATCAAACCTTTGCCTGCGATCAGGTTGATTTTTGGGCCCTGGCTCCAGGGCTATTAGGAATTGTTCCACGAGACTCAAACCAGAGGCCTTTCACTGTGAACACTCTCTCTCCAAAGGTCTCGTGAAATTTCTCTTTCAGGAAAGGGATACATTTATCATATATTTTTTTCTTTTCTTTTTCTTCTTCACTTGCCTGATTGAGGTCATTGCTCTCAAAGCGAACAGTTGGATCCAAGACCAGTGCAGTCTTTCCGGTCCTGGAGAATGCAACTATATCCGCATATCTCGTTGAGCCATCGCTATTGATACAATTGATCTCGTTGAAGCATGTGAATTCCCTTTCCCTAAGGAGCCTCATCAACTCAAATTTGACCCTATGGTACCGGCATGCTATGAGGAGGGAGTATTGGGGCATTTTCCCAGCAACTTCCTTTGACTGTCCACTGGCACCTGGGACTCCATGCAACGGTGCATAGTTGATGTTAAGTTTTAAGGTGTTGGACCATTCTGACCCTGAAAGTATTTGTTTCTGGCATATAGATTTATTAGCTTCTTATCTTTAAAATGTTTAACTCCAATGCCTTGCCACATGCAACTGACCCATTCTTCAAAAGAATTCCCTCTAAGCAACTGTTGTACAGCTCACACACTTCAGTAGCCCAAATCAACACCCAGTCTCTCCGCACATTCGGCGATTTCAGTGTTACAATCAAATATAGACTGGAACAGGGCATCCAGTACATTGAACAGTCGCTGAGCAATGGACCAATGTTGCAAATGAGCCTCCCATTGACTGCAGATCAGTCCCAATCCTCGATACCTCCTTGGAGCGTACAACATCGCCGATGATGTATTAGTGGGGAGCCCAATGATGGCGTTGATACTCCTGCAGATATTTACATCGATTCCCTCCAATAACTCAGGACATATCTTTGTAAGAAGCACTGTCTGGAGAAGATATGTAAGTCCCGGGAACACATATTGATTGACAACATTGATCTTTTGCTCTGGTTTAAAAAGGCAAGAGCTCACCAGTTTATCCAAGTTGTCATTAATTTTTTTCAAGGTTTCCTCATTCATCACTAGTTCCCCCAAGAATGTGCATCCTAAATATTTTACAGTATCATCTGCCTTTGATTTGTGGATGACTTCTCTGTTCTCAAGGGAGAGCTTTTTTTGTTGCAGCTCTCCTTTATCTATTATTAGGCCCACGATTTTCTTCGGATTAATACCCAGACCAATATTGGCTAGGATACTTTGTATGCAGTTAAATTTCCTCCCTGCAGCACCCTTGTATTCTTGACAATCTGGTCTTCCACGAAGCCTGTGAGGACCACATGTTTTGGTCACTTTATTAAAATAAAATATTGGTAACATTACACATATTATATATAATATTTTTAAACAATATTTTTGTTACAATGATTATTAATGAGGAGAATTTTATTCGATTATATGTGGTTGGTTATTGGTGGTTAGCTGGTTAAAATGTAATGGGGATAGTCAGGAGGTAGGTTAAGAATAGTCATAATTTTATAATATTATATATTTTCCTTATTCACAGATTTTGAACTTATTTCAGAACTGGAGTTATTTAGGAAATAATTATTTTACTTTTATGAAAATTAATTTAGTTCTAAAATAAATATTAATTTTTTTTTATTGGATTACCCCCTACCCACCATTTATGCCACCATACGGGAGACTATCCAGGTCTTGGTGTATGCATCAAAATCTTCAAAGCCCACTTTGTCCCATATAGATCTACAGATTTACCACATTTTCAGTATTAAAGCCAAGAAAAATTTTTATATAGACTAGAAAGAAAAACAAAATCAGAGAGTATGATTTGGTCAAGCCCTGTGAAATTCTGAATCCAACATTACCTCATTCATGGTATTTGAGCATAACAGGAGGTTATATCTGGTACAAAACTGATTTTGAGCCTTACTGTAATAATATATGTGAGAATATAAACTTATAATTATCCTTAACGTATCTTTATTCGCCCCACTACACGCTAACCAGCCAATTATAATTGAATAAAATTCCAAAATTCACCTAACTCTTGCAATATAAATGAAAAATGATTTTATGATATTTCAAAAATGATTTTGAAATTAATTAAATTCAAATATTTCCAGCAGAGTTATAGAGAGAAAACAAGAGGCCCCAGGGATAATTTTTCTTGCCCCCATCAAATATTAAATTTAGAACTAAACCCTACTTCTTATATATATATAAATATTGGTTATACGAATAATATATATATATATATATATATATATGTATATATATATATATATATATATGTATATATATATATATATATATATATATATATATATATATATATTTATATATATATATATATTATTGGGTTGCCAAGTAAGTCCTTTCGGCTTTTCTGTTTATTTTTATGTCACTATGATACACTTCTTATTTGATTAATTAATCCTTAAAACTAGCTTAGTATTGTGTTTGCTATTGTTCTGTGAATATGGAAGAAAATACCATTCATTATTGGTATATTTTGTTGTATTATTTTTAAAAAAGTAAGCAGTAGCTTATAAACAAAATTGCAGTGTTGATGGGGATGATGTCTTGACCAAATGCTCCTGTCAAAATTGGTTTACCTAATTTCATTCAGGAAATTTTGACATGAATGATGCTCAACGGTTTGGTGACCCACGTGAAATTAAAACAAGCAATGTTAAGGCAATCGTTGATCAAAATCCCATCCAATTAGTGCAAGAGATTGCTATGGCCCTAAATGTGTCACTCTAGCATATAAAACCATTTGCACAAGCTCGGCTAAGTTTCCCGCCTTAATGTTTGGGTTCCTCACTCTCCAACTGAAATTAACTTTGCAACATGCATTTCTGTTTGTGATTCACTACGGAACAACAACAAGCAACAAAACGACCCATTTTTGAAAAGGTTGCTAACAGGAGATGAAAAATGGATATTTTATGATAATGTAGTCTGTACAAAATCTTGGGGACCTAGTAGTGAGGATCCTAGAAGAATGTCAAAACCCAGATTGCATTCAAAGAAGATAATGCTTTCCATAGAGTGGGATTTCAAGGGTGTTATTTTCTATGAGCTATTGCCATCAAGACAAACAAATGATTCAACTCTATACTGTTCACAATTAATAGAATTGGATCAATCAGTTAAAAATAATTACTCAGAACTGGCAAATCAGAAGGGTGTTGTGTTCGACTAAGACAACGCTAGACCCCACACCTCATTAGTCACTCGCAATAAATTGTTGAGTCTTGGATGGGACCTTTTGCTCCATCCTCCCTATTCACCAGATCTAGCTCCAAGTGATTACCACTTATTCTGGTCTCTGCAGAACTCCATGAATAGAAAGAAATTCCAAAAGGAAGAGGACATAAAAAATCACTTGGATCAGTTTTTTAACAATAAACTCCAGACATTCTATGAGCATGGCATTATGCAGTTAGTGAAAACATGGGAAAAAGTTATATTAAATAATGGTCAATATATTGTAGATTAAAATAAATTTTATGTCTATAATACATTGAGTTTTATTTCATCCTGAAAAACCGAAAGGACTTATTTGCCAACCCAATATATATCAATATTTATAACCCATTTATAAATTTGTTTTTTTCATTTATTATAACCAAAACGTATTCTTTATTCTTAAAGTTAAATATTTATAATTCAGGAAAAAATTTATATCTTTTATCAGGATTTTAAGCAATAAAGTGGGAATAAATATGCGACTACGGACAACATCTCCATCTGGCTTGATATTATGGACAGGAAGGTCTGATTTATCTCAAGTATCTAGTGATTATTTAGCACTTGGAGTAAAAGATGGTTATCTTCACATGAGATATAATCTAGGAAGTGGTGAAACATTTATTGTGTTTAATGATACCAAAATAGATGATGGAATGTGGCATCGAGTCAGAGCAACGAGGTAAACCTGTACTTCCTTATTAACTATACGATTTTTAGAATTAATTTTTTTAAATGAATTTATTTTTCCAATAAAAATTTAGGATTTATCAATATTATATTAATAATAATTGGATAATATTTTAAAACTCCGTTATAAAATTAATAATTTTTATTCATTTTATAGCAAGATAACTTATCTGTATTTATTTTATAATTACTTTGTATATTTGATAGTTAACAATAAAGAAATATGTCTTGGAAATGATTAGTATGATGTTGTCTAGTAAACACTACTTAATTAACCCCCTTAAAAAAACAGGATCTTACGAAAGAAAAAATGGATAGTTAATTTTTTTCTTTAAACTCTTATTAATTAATATTATTGTTGCCATCTCCATTGTGCCATGCATGAAATGCTAGTTTCTTGTAGTGAGTAAAATTGGTAAAAATGTCAACATTCCTTACATAGACATTTTAATCCAGCCTAAAGGCCTAATTTTTATTTTATGGCAGAACAACAATATAAATCACAATATTCTTAATCTAACTCAACTGTTTTTTTTACTTTCACTTGTCTATCAACAGCCACACTGCAAAAGCCTATAAGAACAATTATTATGGAAAATGAGGTTTTTAGATTTTCTGGTCAATCTTGTCCTGGCACATATTTTGATCCCACAAAATGAAATCTGTGATGTTTCATTTCTTCTCTATGGCCTGTTGTAAAAACCTATAAGTTAAAAACCAGCATATTGTGCTGTAAAAACCTGTAAGTTACAGTTAAGGTCATAGAGATTGTATCGTTAATGAAAAAAACGTAATAAAATATTCAATGAACGGAGATCATGTAAATATAGAATGTATAAAGTGTTTTGCGCATAGACTACAGTATCAATTAACTTTATTAACAGGCTAAAATTAATTTTTCTCATATGCTTTGTATTTCTTATAAGTGGTGGGCACTTCCAGCTCGGCACCTCTGGGTTCCCCAACCCTAAGGCCGCCATTGCTTACCATGGACCTAAATGAAGCAAAGAAGAGAGTGTTATGTGGTAATATAGTATTGAACGGCCTTCAAAACAATTGAAACCTCCTGGCAACTGCAAAATGAGCTTGACTTTAAAAAAGCTACAATGCCGTCAAATTCCAGATTGTGAGAGACAGAAAATTGATTAATTGATTTCATTGATTGGGAACTTTAACTGGAGACAAAACAAGAACTCTAGTTTCATTGTAGATGGATCTTTTCAAACCAATGAATCTTCAAAATCGCAAGGAGCCTAGAAATGAAGTGATCTACACATCAGCAGATTACCTAGAACTTATCAAGAATTCGTGAATTAAACCATATAAAGCTGAGTACGTTGATAATGAATCTTTGATGGTCTATTCCAAAATGGAGCACATGCATTCCATTATAGCCGCCCCTACAGTTGGGGACAAAAAAGTGAATAACCCTGAGATCAAATACTTGCTTTCCAGTTAAATGTTTTACAAATTTTCATTTTAAGTATCATTTCTCTACATCTATAGACTGACTTTGTTCCTGTCACGATTTGATTGTTATTAACAAAGTTATAGGTGGGAGTTACTACAATAAATTTGATCAATTTTATTTAACTAATACCTGTTTTTCAAAGTAATTAAAAAGCTATAAGTAAGAAGTACTGGATCCAAAAAAATTGAACTGAAAATGTAATGTTTATAGAACAAAAATTACGCTGGTTTTTTGTTTCCTGAAAATTTGGCTGTTGTTTTGGTGTGGCTGTCGATATGAAATATATAGTAAGGGGAAGTATTGCGATCATAAAAATTTGTGTGTGTGTGAACTGCCTAGCTCAAAAATGAAATGTCATATGAAACTGAAAATACATATTTAAGTCAAGTATAGGCCTGGGATGTTACAGCAACTTTTTCTTTAAAATCAGCTAACCGGAAGTGGCACTTTATATCATCGATTTTATAAATTTTTCTCAAAAGCGGCATAAACGATTTTGATTTAACTCAGTTTATCAATGTATAATTAAGTTATCTTTAATATAATTTAGGTTTTATCCCCATTAATGTTGCTTAACAGGGCTTAAATGCCCAATGTTCAAATTTTCTTTCTCTGAAGTACCTTTAATTTGCTTTTTTTTTAAATAATTAACTATGTCTCATTTTTAGCAGTTATAAAAAAGGGCTAAATATAACTTCTGAAATAATTTGGTAATCGAATAAAGGAGAAAAAAGGAAAAATGTTTATTATGGTAGACAATGAATCTCCGTAAATAATAGTCAGAAAGTATGTGTATAATATATTGTTGGAAAACTGAGTATTTTAGAAAAAAAAAAATCTAATATAGGAAGTCATAGAAGGTGACAGAGAGTGATAGAAAAATTATAAATAATAATTTGTGAAAACTAAAATTATTTAATGGAAACTACATGTTTCCAAGGAAATTAAATGAAATTCCCTAACAAAATGTAACTTTTAAAATTGTGTTTCAACTTGAAAAAAAAAACATATAAAATCCACTGAAAAAGGCAATGGCATTGTTTAAAAAACTATATCATTGTACTTGCGTGAAAGAAGAATTTAAATGTAAAAATATTTCACGGATATGTGAAACATATATTAAAACATATAAGTCTAGATCTGATATTATAATTAAATAATTAGATATCTATTGTCCATTTCATCATGTAACATTTTAGTCAATTATCCACTTGTAATTAGTGTGACCTATCGATAGTAGGCAATGAAAATATCGTAACTCCATTTTGTAAACTTTACAATAGAAAAATAAATAATAGTACTTCAATCCATAATCATTTATTGGCTAAATCGTTGGCACCATGTTAACGTAATGAATGTTAACCTGTTCAATATTCCACATTTGTTAATTTAACATGGTGCTGACAAAATATACAGATGTACTTTCAAATGTTTCTAAGCATATATAGCTCAGAGACTGAAGTTATGTGGTCTAAAAAAAAAGATGAAGGTATGAAGTTTTTATTGCCTACCGTTGATATAATAAATAGATTTTTTGTTATTTTAATGCTCATAATGATATGTTAGCTGTAAGTTTTAAGCTTTAGCTCTGTTAAAAGTGCACTTCAAATATTTTGTAATAGCCTAACATTGCCAGAAAATAGTTTCTATTCAAAGTAGAGCGGTGAGTGAAAGTTGTGTGATGCGTGCATCAGATTTTTATTATTGAGTCATCATAAAGTTTCTAGCATTAGCACTCATAGTGAAAACTACACTATTAAGGAAGTAATAGTACAAGTAATCCTTATTGTTTATAAAATATAACCAGATCATACTTTATGTTGATTTTTTTAGAAATGAACAAGAAGGCTCGTTAACCATTGATCATGGAGAAACAGTCACAAGCAAATCTCCTGGAAAATTAAAGCAATTAAACACTAATACAGGGTTATATATTGGTAAGCTTGAACAATTTAATAAAAATATGATTACGATAGAATTTCAATAATTTGTATCCCACTAATTCGTAGATCCTGATTATTCTTTTGGATTTGCTGGTCCCTTGAAATTCTCCCTCTAATTTGTATAAAAACAACATGTAATTTGGTTCCTTTAATAATTTGTATTAATATTGTGTTGGATTATTTTAGAGTTTCTTCTTGGACAATAACATACATTTTAATAAACCAAGATAAAATAGCCTCTCAGGCTACGAGCAGTAAATTAAAGTGCTTCAAGATTATAAATATCTAGAATTAGATAATCTTTAAAACTGTGGTTGACACAAGCACATTAACATACTGATTGGAGATAAATTTTAAAGGAAAAAGCCATAGTTTTTACAACACAATGTGCATAATTTTTTTACTGGAATCGGATGTTGGTGTAGAAGTATTCTCTACTTTGAATATCCTTGACAAAGCTATAGACAGCTATATCACAATTGATTACTTTTTCAAAAGTAAAATTGAACTGTTTGATTGTTCTATCTGTATACTTTGTACAATTAGTGATCATTTTTTTTATTTTGTAATTTTAATTTTTACTCACTATTATTGGAAATCTTGGTAATTCATATTTTACTGTCAGTTGCTTGATGATATGAGTTATCGGGATTCTACTATTATTGCTACTACTTAATACAAAATAAATAAATAAGGAACTAAAGTGATTATTGTTAAAACTAGAACTATTAGTTATTGTCATTAACCATGCACCTTTATGACAGTTTTAATTATACTTCAGGGTATTGTATGATTTTATTTTTCATTAAATACTGCATAAATATTTATTGTTACAGGTGGAATTGAAGAAATGGAGAAGTCTACCCATTATAAGTACCACAAAGGTTTTTCAGGTTGTGTTTCAGAATTAACACTTAATTCAGACTATCACATCAAACTAACATGGTCTGTAGAAACAGCAGACCACTGTGGTGACATGCCACCTTAATTAAAATTTTATTAAGTGTGATTTGTATTTAAAAAAAAAAGGAAAAAGAAAAAAATAATTATAAGGAGATGGAATGTAATAATTAATATCTTTTATCAAAGTTTCATTAATAACTTTTTCATTTTTTCCCTTATAAATTTGTGAGCAATATAAATCTACAGAATAAAAGAAAAAGTTTTTTTATGAAGTAGTTTACAAGAATCTATTTATGCATGTTTTGGATGTATTTTATTTTTCTAGGCTACATGATTCCTATTAACCATGAGAATATTTTAAGACCATAAAAAGCAATCTATATTGATATGCTTAGTTTCCTAATGTTTTAAGATTCATCAGTACATTGAAATTATTGTTGTAACTTTGAAGTACTTTAGATTATAATACCATTATACTTACAGTATTCACTATGGTTTGTATTTATAATTAATTTTTGTTTATTTTCCTTCTGTGTATTTTTTTTTTTCATTTGATCTATTCACTTCAAAGCTAAATATGTGACACTGGCTGCTTAAATAATAAGTTATTCCATTAGGTAGTCTAATTTTAACTAAATCTTTTGAATATTTGCTATAAGAGAAATTGAATCTTTTATATTCTGTTTTGGAAGTATAATTGGTTTCAAGCAAGAGCTACCAATTTCATACTTGCATCTTTCCTTCATATTTGAATTCCTATCAACAGTTAATAATATTATTAATAATATTGATCCTGAATAACTGCTGGTAAATTTCTTATATGGGGAACAAATTTATTTCCTGATCATTCAGATCCTTGCTTCCTATTCTGCTTCACTATTTCTCTAACTTCATCCTTAAATATTCATGGAAAATGATGAGATTATAAGGTATCTATAAGGTATATCAATAATTGCTTGTGCAATATTTATTTTGCCTGTTTTTGTCTTAACACAAATTCATTTGATTAATTATATTAAAATTGAAACTGCAAAAGACTTTGTGTCACAAAAATTGCAATGGTGAATGGGTTAGATTTTAAATAATAATTAAAAAATAAATAAATAAAAATATGAAACGGATTAAAATCAATTTCATTTTATATTAATTATTGACAAAATCATTAAAAATCTGAGCCATGATGTTCCACCTTACTTTTAGATTTAGTTTCCTTTCAATGTGGTTTCAGTTGTGGTTTTCAGGATTCTTAGAAAATATAAGTATAAGATAATCTTCGCAGAGAATTTTATCATTAAATATGGATACTACTGAATATTTCATTAATGGTGACATATTTCTATATACATTGCTTTGACCATTGATGAATACTAGTTTATTCTCAATTGTTTTCATTAGTAGAAAACAATTCATCAACCAGTAAGTTTAAATTAAAAAGATAAATTAAGATTTTCTTAAGAATTGATCTGCTAGAATTTTGTCTGTGTATACAAGCAATTATTATTGTTAATATATCCTGTTTTTATTTTACTTTTAAATGATTTTTAAAACAGAATATTCTGAAGGTGATTGGCTCAGAATTTGTATACTGGGATCAATTGTTTACAATTTTTATAGCCTTTATTTTTACTTCAAAATTATTTTAATACTACTATTTAAAGTAGGAAAGCTAAAGGAGTTTAAAAATTGTTAAACCTTTTTTATTTATAAATTTTTTCTATCCTAAAATAGTGTATGTATAACTTCTTATAAAGTAGCATATGCAAAGTTGATGTTTGAGTAATGAGGAGTATTTTATACATCTTGTATACCGACTTATTAAAGCAATTGATCTATGTTTTATTGAATATCCTTAGTGATATCTGGGATATAAAAGTTCAAATTACGTATTTTTTAAGAGTGCACAGGAATATAGTCAACTAAACTAATTTTGATAACTTATATATTTTGGATGGTAACTGTAAAAAGTTTGAAAGCTAACTTATTTGGTATTTCATTAAAATAATTAATTGCTTTAACAAGTGTTAATGTATGTTTGTATATATGGAAAACTATCATATATGTGTAGTCTAATACACACACACACAAAAATGAGTTCTTATAAATTTTTTTTTTTGTTGATAAGTTGGGCTTTGTTCATATCATTGTGTAAAGTTCATGAAATAATTTGACTGTTGATAAATAAATTTTATTTAAAATCTTAACTGTTAACATGGATCTGAAGCCTTTTATCACTAATTACCCCTACTATCATAGGTCAAGGAATTAAAAAACAAAATACTCCATGGAAATTATTAAATTTTATTCTTAAGAGGATGAGGCATAAAAAATAATGTTATCTCTATCTTTTGAGATGAATGTAAATGTACACTAAACTAACTTCTCTTTTTTATATCAGTGGTTGTATGATAGTCTAGATAAAACAATTTAGACATTGTCGATGTTTAAATTAAGTTAGTACTTTCAGTTGTATTTTAAAATGTCCATAATATAAAGATTAATTTGTTCCTGAGAAGAATGGTTTTTAGGAGTACCTAGATTGAAATAAATGTACATAAAAGTATTGGGCCTCAAGCTTCACAATCATTATGAAAAATAATAACAGTAAAAAACCTAACAGTCATTTTAGAAAGAGCTACTTAAAGCTTGTGTAGCAGACACTTTTTTGTACATAAAATTATTTGTTAGTAGGTAATAGATTTTATAGAATTCTTAATATAATGGAACAAAACAATGTTCCGTTATGTTAATTTTTAACTATAAACTTACTTCTGACTGAATGATACTGACTATTCCCCATATTATTCTACTGATTTCATCCCCTGTCTAATTGATTATAAATTCACATATTCAATTTTGCTTCAATACATATCATCTTGTGTACAGTGTCTAACTTAGTTTTATATGTATTGTGTACAAATTTGAAGAATTAAAATTACTATTGAGGTGTTAATGTTTTAATGAAAATTACCTGAAACCCTTCAAGGCCATAAAAATAAAGATATAGCAAAGATATTTTTGCAAAAAGAAAACTTCACATTATTTTATAAATAAATAAATAACTTCAAATTAGTGAAACAATTTAGAAAACCAAATGAAGTCATTGTATTTTTTATTAAATGGTCATATTCCATGAGGTAAAACCTTTTACTCAATCATTTTATGGATATTAAGGCAAATAAAGTGAGAACTAATGTTTCTTCAATAGATGACACAATCGGACAGCCAGTCCTAAACCAGCTCCTCAATGGTCTGAACTAGTGTTGTAATCAATAGAATTTACGTATTCATTTCTGTCATACAAATTATTTTTTATTTAAGGGTGTTTTCTTTATAAATTGAAGTTTCCCTCTGCTAATTCCTTCCTCAGTCAGTTCCTCTACTTTTTCCTGACCATTGCTCCCTCCTCTATTGGTCCTTGGCCTCTCACACTGTCAGCCACAACATCTCTCCACCTGAAATGAGGCCTCTCCTTCTACCCTCAGTCCCCTACTTAACAATTATTTACATTAGAAAATGTAAACCATATTTAAAAAATAAATTAAAATGAAATAAATAATAAAACAAATTTGTCTCTCTGATCTTCTTCCTAAAATTCTTTTTATTGTGCTCCTTTAAACAAATATTTACAAAATTAGTAAATAGGGCAGAACTATAGATTACATTATACAAAATTAAAAAAAAAACTACCAATTAATTGAAATTAATTTAATGTAATATGTAAAAGGCTTTATCTTTAAAAATAAATAAATAATAGTCGAAGACGTGTTAGGCAAGTACCAGTGTGGATTTCACCCCGGAAGATCAACAATAGACCACATCTCCATGAAAGTTGTGCTCAAAAATACCATGAGTAGAATGTCGATCAACTTAATCTTTTTATTGACTACAAACAAGCCTATGATAGTATAGAGAGAAATGAAATGTATAAAAGATTAAAAGTTTTGGGATGCCCGCTGAAGCTTATCAGGCTTGTTAAGATGACTCTGCTGGACAGCAAAGGCATGGTGAAAATTCAAGATGAGTTTTCGAAAGAATTTGACATTCAGAAGGGTGTAAAACAAGAAGATCCTCTTTCCCAAGTACTGTTAAATTTGGTATTAGAAGTAGTCATGAGATCAATGTGCACAAGGGCATGAGGATGTATATATGACAGAATGAATCAACACCTAGCGTTTGGGATTACAGGAAGGACATCTAATTCACTCTTAGGAGCCTTCAAGGAGTATGAAAAAGCTGCAAAAAAAGTAGGACTTGTCATAAATAAAAACTAAACTAAATATATGTTATCAACGAGGGAGATGAAAGGCATTAGAAATATTAAAGGCCCCCATACCCATTAAATATGGAGCTAAGAAATAGAAGATTAGCCTCGGACGAGCCCGATAATGAGGTTGCATCGGGCGGGAATAGTGGACAGCTTCCTTCAGGGACTAGTGGAGCGAGCGGCTCTACCCTGTCGTCACGGACCGCAAGGCTGCAACGTTTACCGGCCAACAGTTCGAGTTCGAGCTTGGAGGAGAGACATTCTCCACCCGTGCGAATTTGGCAACAGAGACCAAGAGGTGCAAAGAGGATGAAATGGAAGCCAGATATGAACAAGGCTGTCATCAGGGCATACTACTTGGCAACAAATCGTGAAACTGAAAAAAACAGGATATCTTAACAGTATACAGAGATACTGCCTTGAGAATTTTCCAGAAGTTAATGGGAATTCCGCTTATGGAACGACCATCATTACCAGGAGTGCCATATAACAAGACCACGCTGAGAATAACTAATGAGATGAATAATGTTCTTAAAGATCACTTGGACTTAATTGATGGCCTCAAAGATATTCCTCATTGGATGTATATTGCTGCCAAGTCAGTTATAATGGAGCTTGGTATAAAAATAGAAGACAAAATAAAACTTCCAGTGGGTAGTAAAGGAATTCCACAATAGAAAAAAAGACTTCAAAAGAAAATTAACACCTTAAGGGAGAAAATTGGCATCATTTCAAATTACATTCGTAATCCACAAACTGCAAGAGCCAAGACCAAGAAAAAGATAGATGAAATCATAGGCCAAAACTTGGTAAAGTTATGGAAAATGAATTGACCGATAGGCTGACGCTATATCTGGATAACCTAAAACAGAAATCAGCAGTTTTCGCAAACAGATTGCGAAGATATAGTGAAGCAGCTTTACGGAGGCAACAGAATGAACGCCAGTTTTATAGGAACCTTAGACAAAAGGTGAAAACACCGAATAATTACCCTGAAGACATTGAAGCGTACTGGAAAAATGTATGGGAAAAATCAACGAATTACGAAGAGGACGCCCCTTGGATAACGGAAGAAATTTCCCATTTTCAAAGTGCTTCTGAGATGCAAGAGGTGACAATTACAACACAAGATGTTACGGAAGCTGTTAGGAAAATGAAAAACTGGAGAACACCTGGTCCAGATGGAGTCCAAAACTATTGGATTGAACGATTTAGGTGCTTGTATGAATTGTTGGCCAATAGTTATCAAGATATACTGGATGACAAACAGAGTCCTTCTACTGGTTTCTCTGATGGGATCACGGATATGCTTCCGAAAAAGGATGAGTTAAACTTACGTTCTGAGGATATCCTTCCAGTAAAATGTTTAAATGGTCTTTATAAGATTCTGACCTCCATCTTGACAACAAATATTTATGAACACTTGGAATCTCAGAGCATGATACCCAACGAACAGTTAGGATGCAAGAAAAGGGCTAGGGGCAGCAAAGAACTTTTAGTAATAGATTCATTTATTGCCGCGCAAGTATAAAAAATCCAGCAAAATCTTTTTGTTGAGTGGATCGATTGTAAAAAAGCTTTCGTTTCTGTACCACACAGTTGGCTGCTCAAAGTATTGGAAATATACAAGTTTCAATCAAAAATAAGCAAGCTTCTTTCAAATTTAATGGCGGACTAGACTAATACGCTGAATATAGGAGCAATCCGCGCTAACAATCAAATTAAAATTCTTAGAGGCATCTATCAAAGAGATTGCCTTAGCCCTCTGTGGTTTTGTATGGCACTGTTTCCATTAAGCCAGATACTCAAAAGGAGCAAGATGGGCTACAAACTCAACTACAAAGATGATGATACCACAATCAGTCATAGTTGGTATATGGATGACCTCAAACTGTATGCATGAAAAAATGAAAAAGAATGAAAAAAAAATGAACAGCAATTACAGAACATGGTTGGAACAGTATCATTCTTTACCAGTGATATAGGTATGTCATTCGGACTTGAAAAATACGCGGTGCTTCATGTAAAAAAGGGAAGAAAGGTTAATATCCAGAACATTCTGATAAACGAAGAAGATCACATTAAAGAGCTAGAAGCACATCAATTATATAAATATTTAGGCATGCAACAGACTGTGTTCAGAAAGAGATTGCGACAAGTACTCAGGACTCAGTTATCTGGGAAGCACAAAATTAAGGCCATTAACACCTGGGTCATACCAGCTCTGAGCTATAGCTTTGGTATAGTACAGTGGTCCAATACCAGTCTACAGGAGATTGATCGTCTAGTAAGAACGACACTCGCACAAGAGCGGTCTCACCATCCAACATCCTTCAAAGCCCGCCTGTATTTATCTAGAAAGGAAGGAGGTCGCGGACTTCTAAATATAGAGGAAGCATGTCGAAAGCAAGAGCTGGCGCTACGACGATATTTTCTTTCAAAAACTACAGGGATTTATCTTACTATAACCAATATGGATTCAGGTCTAACGGCACTCAATTTGAACAAAGCCGAAGATTTCACAGTTGTGTCCGAAAATGAAAGGCTGTCAGAATGGAAGAGCAAGGCACTACATGGCAGATACTACAGCCAATTGAATGAATCCTCCATAGACAAAGAAAAATCTGTGGAATGGTTAGCGGCAGGAAGGCTATTCTCTGAATCAGAAGGCTTTGTAGTCGCCATTCAAGATCAGGTCATTGCCACCAGGTCATATAGGAGGCACGTTCTTAAAGACACTTCAACATCTGATAAATTTCGAGTTTGTTCAACGACGTACGAATCAATCCAACATATCACAGCTGGATGTGGAGTACTCGCTGGTATGGAGTATCTGCAGAGGCACAACAATGTGGCGAAAGTATTCCACCAGACTCTGGCTATGAAACTTAACCTGTTGAATGAAAAGATGCCATATAACAAATATAATCCAATAAGGCTGCTTCAGAAGGATTCCATCAAGATGTATTGGGACGAATCTATAATAACGGATCATACAGTGCTTCACAACAGACCCGATATCCTTATCATAGATTTAGGAGCAAAGAAGGCAAAGTTGATTGATATCGCGATTCCAAACGATAACAACATAAGCACGACCGTGGAAGAGAAGCTCCGTAAGTACCAAGAACTGAATTGAATTGAATTAAAGGAGTTGTAACATTTGGAGAGCGTATTGGTTACACCAATAATAATATCAACCAATGGTCTGATCCCATAGTCAACAGTGGCAGGTACGGATTGCTTGGGATTACCCCTAGATGTGTTAAGGAGGCTCAGCAAGCGGTTCTCTTGGATACAGCCAGAATTGCAAGAAAATTTTTAAATACTAAAAATATTATAACTGCAGGTGGTTGCACTTGTCCCCCACCTTCAGCGTTGAATCCGCAAAGGCGAGAATAAAAAAGATAATAATACTTTATTTATTCTGGGACGAGTCCCTTTAGAATAATACAGGAAGATAGAAATGTGGGCTAAGGAGCCTCAGAGATACATAAATAAAAATACAGAGTAATTGAACAGCCTTGGTGAAGAAAAAAAAAATATATATACACACATTATAAGTTGCTTTCCAATTTTGATCAGATGATAATACAAAAAATAAAAAAAAGGGAATACAAATAATGAAGAACGAACTAATATTTTATGTACATATTTACAGTAGTATCTATATACGATTTTATGGGGACTGGATGGATAAGAAATGATTGAACAGGCGGGATTT